TATATATATATATATATATATATGTATATATACCCTTAAAACACACATGAACCGTAAATAAAAATAAAAATAGATGGGTACATCCTGGGGTGTTTCAGAAAGGAATCCAAAAGTGTCACCTATTGAATGGAGGGAAAATTGGTCAATTAACATCCATCAATTAACGGTGTCAAAGTCAGAAGGAAAATGGAAACCAGATGGAAAAAGAGTAAATATTGCATGGTAAACTGAGGAACACAATATACAATAAGGACAAAGGAATCCAAAAGGTGACATGGCAACTGAAACAATCAACAGCAATGTCTTTACCTCGACAGTTATCCAACATGAAATGGCAGCCAATAAAGGAAGAATATAGAAAGCATCAGCAGTGGTAAGGTCGATGAACCAAGATGCCCCACCGGTTTGAAAAGATGTAACCTTTTCCACCATGTTCTCAATCTGCACATTACTAATTACTCAAACTTACAACACATTCCAAAAATGTAGCATTATTATTGAAAGATTGAAGCTGCCATTTGGGATATAATATATTTGACTTACAACAAGGAAAAAGCTGACAAAGACAGGGGATTGGATGAAAAGCCTAGTCAATTGAGTATACATAGCAGCAGAATACTTGCACAAATATTCAGTTCCAATTATAACATTATTATCATGCAAAAACAAAGGCTTAACATCATGTCAAACAAAAACTCACACTAAGGAACAAGGGAAAGTGCTTACTCCATATATACTCTCTTCTTTTGTGCCTCAACTTCAGCTACAGCCGTTGGACTCATGCTCTGAAAAGGTTATTAATAATTTTTAATAATAAAATTAAGCAGGGCATATGAGTTTCACCTTCTTAAAAGGATAAGCATGTCTAATTCAATAAAAAAACATTAAGAGCACTGCACATGCAGGAAGTCCCCCAGCCTTCTATTTGTATCAACAATTAATTATTCGTGACCAAAAGTTATGTGGTAGCATCAAAGGATATTGATTCACAAGCATGTTATTCAATAGCTTTAACTTCTATTTTGAAACAAAATATTACAACTTAGACAAAGGTGGCTCTTTATACGTAGTGCACCAGTATAAACATGAACTTTTCATCTATGTAACATGTAACATGAAAGATGACAGAATAAGTTTGATGATGAAAATACCTTATCTTGCATCTTTTGCTAGATCTGCTCCAATTCAGGCCCCAAAATCTATATGCAAAATGTCAACAGATCAATGCTACCTCTGAACAAGATAAATCAATTTAGATGAAGCTTGTATCTACTCCTGTTTGGGTCCTCAAGCCCCTAAATCAAGAAAACAATTACGGTTATAACCTTATCCACACCTTTAAAAAACTAATAGATGTCGATTTCCACACCCAGTTGGTCATTAAGTAAAAAAAAAATAAGCATGTTGTAGTTGGTCGCTAAGTAAAAAAAAATCAAGAAAATGAGTTTTAAGGGTGGTTGCCTATCAATGAGAAACAGGGGTTATTGGTAGAAGTTGCTTCGAATCTTCAACTTTAAGTAAAGGAATGTGAACCTTATGGATGTCACTGGTCGTACCTTCCACCATAAACCTTCTAAGATCTGAAGCTCCATAACTAGAATATATTTCACCTCCGTTACCAGTGTTTAGTCTATGTATTATATCGATGTTATCAGAAATCAAAAAAGTACACAGTGTGTATATGTATATATAGGAGAGAGGGGGGGGGAGAGAGAGAGAGAGAGAGAGAGAGAGAAAGAAAGACTTGTAGTTAGTCACGTATTACCTACATCAAATCAAAATTGAGGGAATGTTGATTTCATAAGATGAGTTTGAAATGGTATATAGAACCCTATATCACCTTCTAGGTTTAAAAAAGTGGGAACCAGAAATAGATCGATGGAGTTAGGGTAGACCATAGGTGGAGCGGGACTGGGAACACTCAATCGTAGGCGAGATCCAGAACTGTAAACGTCTGATGTCCACAAATTTGTTGCTAAAACCTGGAGAATCGACCTAGGTTTTCCCAATACTGACTTGTGTTCGAAAAGCCATTTGTGGTGGGTGATGGAAGAGAGAAATGTTTGTTATAGACAGGGCGGGGGCGCCGATGAACGAGATGTTTGATGACACCGATAAGAAGGAGATCGTGAAGAGATCCGATGAGAAGATTAACAAGTAGCGAAGAATAGAATCAGAGAGGAGAGCGAAAGAGGGGGAGGGGAGAGTCGATTGCGAAGATGAAAGATAGAAAGAAGGTAGAAAAGAACAAGGCGGGTTTTCAAAATTTTGGGGATTTCGTTTCCCCCGTTATCTACTAAATGCGCCTTTCATTAAAATTATAAAGCAACAGTTATAGAGGACGAGTGTTTAAGATAAAGCGCACTTCGTGTTTTTAATTTTTTTTTCTTGAGACACCAATTTAAGGGCACGCAATAATGCGTGACCTAAATCCTTGAAATTTTTGGAGAGATGACACTATTTTAAGGTCACTCTCTTTTGTGTAACATAAATCAGTACGTGTCGTGGTTTGCGTGTCATTAAAGGCATAAATTCTAGTAGTGTTCTATACCTAATATTACATACATGACAACCATATATATATATATATATATAT